AAGTGAACTCAGAGGTGAGTGTCACCCCTCCAGAGATAATAATTCAAAAAAACAGTTCCAGGGCTGATTGTATAAACAAATTAGCATATGAGGAGACTTCGAAATGTTTGTGGAAAAATGGAATTAAATGGAATCTTCCCACGAACTTCTTGAAGACCCCTCATATATATTAGGAAAGAGGTTTATTCCTTAAAAAAAAATAAGCCAAGCTCTTTTTGTGATCAAAACCCTTATTTTCTGACAAAGAATCTGGGAGCACAAACTAACTTGTTCAAAGAGCACCAGCAAACATGGCTGTGAACTTTATTTAAGATGAAGATCACAAGGCAGAGCCAGACGATTTTTAGGGCAGCGCAACTATTCTGTGTGATACTGTAATGGTGAAAACATGACATTACACATTTGGCAAAACCCATGGAACTGTACAACACAAGGAGGGAACCCTAATGTAACTGAGTGAATAATAACACATCAATATTGCTTCATAACTGTACAAATGTACCACACTAATGTAACATGTTAATAACAGGAGAAATTGTTGGGGGTGCGGGGCATGGGAATTATCTGTACTTTTTGCTCAATTTCTCTGTAAACATAAAATTGCTATAAAAATAAAGCCTATCATTTATAGAGAAAAAGACATCAATTACAGAGAACCTGAGCAAAGTCAGCCTTTCCATGGAACTTAAGCTACAATTTGAAGAGACCCAGGAGTTCCAAAGGTACTGTTTAAACAACAAAAATCCCAACATTCTAATATTATAACATGGTTTATAAAACAAGTTCTAGAGTCAGAAGAACCTGTGTTCAAATTGGCTTTATGGTTTATTAGTTGTGCAACTCTGAGCAAAATACTTAATCCGAGTCTCTTTTTTTCATTCAGTAATTTTTTACTGACAGGCACTGTTCTAGGTGCTAGGAATACACAATTAACAAGACAGGCCCAATACTACCCTATGGAACTGACATACTGATAGTCACTTACATGAAATGCAACAAACGCCAAGACAGAGAAGATATATAGGGTATAATGAGAGCACATAATTAGGTGTGGATCAGGGAAAGCTGCCTGGGAGAATATCTAAATAAGGAGTTAAGCAAATATGCTCCTAGGAAGTGTCTACGCAGAGGAAATAGTTCATACAAAGGTCTGAAAGTAAGAAAGCATGACTCTCTGGGAAACAGCAGTAAGTTATTGTGGCTTGACCACTGGTACTGAGGGGGAGGTGAGGACAAAATAAACTGGAAAGGTAGGGCCTTAAAAAACATATTAGAGAGTTTGGAAGTACCCTAAGAGCAACAGGCAGATAGATGGTAGAAAGTTTTGAGCAAGAGTGACAAAATCAGATCTAGTGTTCGAAAGATCAGCATCAAAGAGTGGTGTTTAAGAGCATGAATTTTGAAGCTAAACTGCCTGAGCTCAAATCCTGGCTCTGTGACTTACTAGCCACATGACCTTGGGCAAGTTACTTACTGGCTCTGTGCCTCCATTTCAACAGTATCAGCTTCATAGGGCTGTTATGAGGATTCAACGATTTAATATTTGTAAAGCATTTAGACCAGTGATTCTTGGTACAGTGTGGATAGCGGTTCAGGAAGCGAAGGTAGGACTAAAGACAGGGAGACTATTTTAGGAGGCTGTTGTAGTAATAAGGGAGGACGATGGCAAAAATTAGGCAGTGGTAGTGAGAACAGAAAGAAACTAAAAAATGTCAGAGTTGTTTGGAAAGACTAGATGAAGAACCGAATGCAAGGAAGTGGGGAATTGAGGTAAGTTTTGTCTTTTTTTTTTTTTTTTTTTTTTTGGGCCCGCCACCGGCGCCAACC